GCAGAGAAGCTGCCTCGCCTAGGTACTTCAGGTATCTTACCGAGTTGCATTACCTGCAGAGGACCAGGGAGAAAGACCGCTGCTTGGCGGGGCTGTTCGCAGCAGCAGGATGGAGATGCCTGAATCTCACATGTGGTTGACGTCAGATGCGGACATGCAGTACAATTCGCAGCACAATCGAACAGTGGACGAGCAGTACAATTCGCAGCACATTCGAACAGTGGACGAACAGTAGAGACCAGTTGATGAACAGTAGAGAACAGTAGAATTTAGACTGTTGATTGGACGAGCCTCAGACCGTTTGGTGGACTGCATCGCAGACCACTGACCACAACACGTCGTCATGTCACGTCCCAACGTTTTCCTACCCCTCATGTGGTGATTTCGTCCATCCAGCTCCAAAAATGCGGCTGGCATTCCCAATTCGTCGCTCATGCAGTAACTGAAGATGAAAAAGCCACCCCGAACGCCAGGCGCGTGGGACGAGCGCTCTCCCTGCTCGTCGACGTCGCGCCGATTCCCCCGCCATCCATGTGTCGGTTGTATATAGAATGAGCCTGGCAAGCCTGCCTCCGGAGAAAAAAAAAAGAGGAAAATGGCGCCTCCTCCTCTGTCCTGGCTTTCTTCGCATACAGGTGCGTATGCGCTCTCGTGCGCAATGCACGATTTGACAAAAGAAACTTGAAAGTGTTTTCTGATAGATACAGTGCCATACTCCGCGCCGAAAGGTCAACAGGGGTATCAATTGAAGGATCGAGCGTCATGGGGCCGGTCGATCGGCAACGAGTCGCATAGGAGATGGCATGTCCTTGATGATGGCGCCCTGCATCGCTTGGGCGTGTGAAGTTGATTAGACAGAAGAGATCAGTGACATGGTCTGCCGTTCGACGTGGCAGTCGTGAAATGTATGTGACGAGGCTAGTATAGTAGCCACTCAGGGTCGGTCGCGGCGCTGGTTGGGATCGCGTGGAGGGAACTGTTCGCCTCGGGCAGCGAGGTATTCGGCCGATCCAGTCTGGCGACCGGGCTGTTCTGCGGGAAGTTTCGTCTCGTCATTGCGGGTCCTGCGTTGCGGGCTCTGCTCGGGGGCAGCAGGCAAGCTCGGTACGCTGGGAACGCCAGGAACGAGCTCAGTGACGGCCTGGGCGATGGAGCGGATGACATTGTTGCGGAGCTCGCGGTCCTCGCGTGCGTCCTCCTTCTCCAGGCGGAACCGTTCATCCTTGCCCATGTTTTGCCTCCGGATGTTTCGAATCTCCTGTGTGATGTAGAGCAGAACCTCTTCAGGGCATCGGTTGCGTTCGTTGGCAAAGTCGGCCTTACGGACGTAGCGTCTGGTGACATCGGTGGCGCCGTCGATGGAGAAGGCGATGCAGTACGACATCTTCTTGCCCCAGCCTTCTGTGTAGAGGCGAGGGTTATCCCATGCCTCCTCTACGGCATCGACGTGAACCCATCGCTTCTGGTGATCGGAGTAGACCTCAGTCCAAACGTGGTCCTCGGCGTTCCACACCCAGCGCACACGGCCACCAACCGCCCTGCAAAGCATGCTGAAGCAGTTGGCCCATTCGCCGACACGGCCTCGGCGCGTCTGCAGTAATCTCCAGACGTCACCGTACCGGGGAAACCGGTCGAAGGCCCCGCAGTTTCCGGCCGAGCAGCGATACAATTCGACTCGCATGGCACCACAGGCACTCTCATCGGGGGTCGGTGCCGTCATGCCCTGTGCGATAGTGGGTGACATGCAGACAGGGCAAGGTGGGTTGTTGACCCATGTGAAGAATTGACGCTTGAACCACCTTTCAAGTCAAAGTCAGTCAAAAGCCCGTATAATGCCAGGAATATTTGCCTCGAGTAAAGAGGGGTGATGGATCACCAACGTACCTAAGAAGTGCTCGGATGACGCAATCTTGATAGCCCCATGTGGCTCTCGACCCGTCACCTAGGCTCATGGCCTCAGCCTGCATGACCTGGTGCTCTTCTTCGGCCTCGCCATAGATCTGGTCGAGTGGAATGACTTGGAGGGCTTCGTCCAAAAGACCAGGGTTTTCGTACTTTGTTGGGGTCAGAGAGAGGCTGACCAAGAGATTCCTAAACTTCTGCGAGTCGCGGTCGTGTGCTGCGGGTGGTGTCGGGATCTTAGGGAGATTGCGTATGGAAGAATAGGAGGGAGGTATCGTTGATCCAGAGGATGTCGTCGGACGGCTGGACATGGCCGGTGCAGGGCTGCGTAGGTTGGCGCTGCTCGCTCGCTCGCGCGGTTGCGGGGTGCCTCGCCGGGATGAAGACGATCGGAGGTCGTCCATTCGCTTGTCACGGAGTAGGCCTTCGAATTGGATCCTCAAGTCGCGAGCCCATTCCTCGCCATACTCGGAGGCTTGCTGCTGCTGCTGCTGCTGCGACGCACTGCCCTGGCCGGGCGGGAAGCGTCGGCCAGCCATGGTAGGTGGAGTGGAGGAAGCGGTTTAGACCACTATCGAA